AAGGTGTTGACAACAACGTTTTGAGATGGATAATCTGTTTCCACTACGTATGTTATGTAATTGTTGACATCTGAGTTTCTAATATAGCGTAAATTTAGGGCCATTCAGGAGGTTAATAGTAACAGCGAATTCTTGCTAGAATATAACTTACTACCAATTCCTAGTTCATTGCCACTAAGAGTTCTCCCAAATCCTACGGTCCTTCCCAGGTTCATTCCAACGTTCCTGTAGTCCTGTCATAGAGCAAACTCATTAGGTAAAATGGTTCAACCAGAACACGCCATTTATCCTCATAGGGATTTGATAAGACATGGCAATTCAGACTTTGTTGACTTTCAAGGAGAGAGCCTGTAGACTGAAGGCACCAGTGCGAGCATGACTGTTGTTGAAGTTGACTTTTTTAGGAAATATTAAATGCACACAGCTTTACAAGAGGAAACTCAGAGCTAAAAATATAAAGTCTTGAATTGGCCATGTATTAGGTCATGAACTTTGGGTGTTTGCTGTTTTGATGAAACAATTGAATTAGTTAGGTCAGTCAAGAGAACAGGAAAAATATTGTGTTAGTGAAAACTGCACCAAGTCATAAGATTTAGGTTCTGCATTAATTGAAGATGAGTTCCGATACTGTTGAAGAAGTTTTTGGATAGATATTACAAATTGCTAACTTTGAAATTTTTTTTTGATGACGGCGCAAAGCGCCAAGATGGCTCAAAGAGCCCTCCTGAACTGCTTTTTAATTAACTAAAACATTATTTTCAAACAAACAGTTTATATTTCTGTTGAAAGTTTTGTATATTGTTCGAATATTTATAACTTAAATCTTTCACTCCCTGTAGTTCCTTCGAGGTGTTTCCAATTGATGGGCGGATTTTACCTATTTTCGATGAATATTGGCGTTTGCCACGAGGCATTCGATTTCAGGGTCAGAGATAGTCAAATGACACATTGCTTTCCTTTTATTCGTGACTATAACATTTCAAAGGTCCTCCTTTGTTTAGAATTACTTTGGTTACTTACTTATAAGATTTATAAAGCTTTCTTATCGCTCTTTTAGAGTAAATACATTATGTTTGGACAATATAACTGAAAGAAGCTGAGAAGGTATATTGGTCTGACGTAATCTGAAGGAATATGCTCTTGAACATTTATGTAAGGGTTGTCAGTTGGCTATCTCTTGGGAAAGACATTTGAGCCTCTCAGTGCATGTGGCGTATACTCTGTAAGTATAAACATCTGATGCTGAGCGTAGCGTGTTGAAACCTGTGATATATAAAAGTTCACCGACTTTGAAGTAATCTGGTTCTTTTTTCTTTTAGAGAACACTTCTTGATCCTATAGTCTCTTTATGACCAATAGTGTTTGTCGTTTCGTCGAGTCACTACATTGATAAGGTCGATTCAATGATGGAACATTTACACTGAGCACCCAGCCTTAATGAATTGGTATTTTTGCTTCTTCATTTCCATATAGAATACATAAAACCTTATATATTGTATTGTGCAAATGAACAAGTAATACTCGACAAGGTCTTTGAATGTAAAACGCTATACGAATTAGAAAATATTGTTGAATTCACTGAGACAGGAGCTGTGTCAATAAAGACCTTGTAGAACTACCCTGCAACAAAAGAGCTAAGGAAGAGCAGAATATGATCCAAAGGGTGGGAGCCCCCTTAGTAAATAGAGATTCATGTCATATGAATGGCTCTCCTAGCAGGTTTCAAACACATTACAAAGTACTTGACAGAAAGTTTATAGACAGGATTCTTGCATCTTTCAGATCGGCGCTGAAATACGCCTCATACAAGAACACTAATCATTCTAACGCATAGTCCTCACGAAGAAGCCTTAACAAGGCTGCAGCGAACTGTTCATCCCGTATACATTGGGCGTCACAGGCGATGCTGGTAAGGAAATGGCCATCGCCGTCCTGTACTCATCGTGAATCATGAATGACTAGCCAGCACAGAATGTTATTAACTCAGACTATGGGGATCAAGAGTAGTGCAGGAATTTGGGATCTTACCTCTCGAGCTCCCAGTTAAATTAAGCATGAATGATTATTCTGTAAAAAACCCATCATTGCTCTTGTCGGTCTCCAGCCTGATGGACAGCAGCTCGCTATGAATTTCCTTGCACCTGTTAATGGTATGTAGGTTATGTATATGAATCTCAAGGTATGAACGAGGAGAGATGAGAGACTTATATGCTTCCCAATTTTCTTCAAAAGGTAATGTCGTATACCTGACTGTTTCCAAATGAGTTCAATATCATAGCGGAGGGAACCTTTGAAAGATAGACGAAGTCATTATGAGACTTTTATGTTAAAGCAAGAAAACGCCATGTTTGCATAACGTATTGCTACAGTTTAAGTGGTTTAATGTCTGACTTTAGTTATTTGATGTTAGCTAATGGGTGAGTCAGGCTTTGACACTAAACCTGTAATTTCCGGCGAGAGTCGTTCACAAACGAGCGAAGTGTTTGAAGGATACTGTTTTGAAGGGGTATTTTGAAAGTTTTAATAGAATGTAGTTGTTAAGTCGTTTCATATTCGTAAACTCCCTGAGTATGGACGTAAGCAAAAGATGGTGTTTGTTCATATAATTCTTTCGCATCTCTTCTGTAAGTCTTTTGCATTCCTCGACTGTGTTCCTATGGAACCTCGTACAATAGATAATATTTTCTCTTCGTCGAACTGTAATCGTTGAAGAATCAATGAGTTCGCTATCTGGAACTTTAACCTCATTCTTTCAAGTGTTGATGTGCCTGATCCTGTTGGAAGAGAGCTAGATCTATCAGATTCATCTGGTGATTCATCGTCACCACCAACACGTGCAAATGTGAAGCTTGGATTATTGAAGAAACTGGGGACACATGTTGCCAAATTAAGTGGAGGAAGATGTTCTAAACCACTCGCGTTTGTTCTGATCAATTTGAATTCATCGATGATTGCGAGTACGACATCTCTAACATCTTTCTCATTCCTGTTGACGGCGTTCTTGATTCGAAGGATATCTTGAAGAGCAGCATCGATTTGGCCGCCAAGATGGTCAACTGTTTTTTCTAGTTTTTGATGTTCTTTTGCACGAATGTCGTTGTCTAACGGAATCAACATTCCTGCACGTGTTGCTGCTGTTTGATGTGCCATGATGCTTGAAAGCATTGGACGGTTCGGAGATTCAGGATTTGATGGATTTTGCTGCAAATTATCAATTAATTGCTGCAAAACATCGACTCTTCTTGATAAAAGTGATTGTTCTGTCATTGCATTGACGAGAGCAGCTCTGTTTTGAGATGTAACTGCCCAAACTTCGTTGAGTTTTGGTGCATTATCTGATGTTGTGTGCATGAGCGCAATATCAAGAGCTTTTTGTAGAGAAGCGAGTCTGTTGTTAAGTAAATCGGCCATTGTTGTGTGTACTTGGTTGATTTGCTCTGTTGTACGTGCTTGAATTTGCTCAATTAAGTCATTATCTCCGGCATCGCCTGTAATTATCTCTCAAATTTTGGCCATTTTTCGCAGTTTGATCGGACAAAACCTCGCATTTCGACGCGAGATCGACACCAAAAATTCGGCAAAAATTATTAAAGGAGGTCTATCGTCGCAGATCACAAACTTAGTTTTAATGCAAGATTGCATACGAAAAATTTCGAACAAAAATTCATAAACACGGAAATGTAAATCAGAGCAGAAAAATATATTGTATGAAGATGTCGACTACGATACGAAATTCGAAAAACGAGATATTTAGAAGATTCACAAAAAATTAGAGTCATTAATTCGCAATTGTATAATTTTGAAGACTACATTGAGTCAAATTAATAGATTTACATGATATTATAAAATAAATAATAAGAGTTTACCAATAAAATTCTCGATTCAAGGTCGAAATTTTTTAAAAGTTCCTCTTCTTGGGAACTCGCTTAGATACTCTACCTGAAAATAGTATGAAAACTTCAAAGACTGTTAAGAACGGTCTCTGAAGTTTTTTGTTAACAATCAGTATCTGATTGTCGACTTTGTTCCTCAGTTTGGGTTCTTGCTTAGACATAGAGCCCAAGATGAGGAACAAAAGACTTCAAAGAATGCTAAGAGCAATCTTTTAAGTCTTTCCTCAACAATCAGTATCTGATTGTTGAGGGAGTTCTTCTATGATGCCTGTTCAGTTATGGCATCACAGATAAGTAACATAGACTTAAAAGAACATGCTTTATAGTCTTTTTTCAACAATCAGTATCCGATTTTTGAGGAAGTTCCTCTTCTTGGGTTCAAGGTCCGAATATTTACCTAAAATACGAATCATAGTATTAAATCAAGAATAATATTTCGAAGCATAAAATTAAATTAAATAATATCTTCATGAAATAACTTTTCCATCAACTTCTACATCTATTGGATTTACTCCTGCTCCAATCGTCGGAACGTCTGATCAAGGAAAGAGCCACTCTTAATACGATGAATTAAACTAGTTTTACCTACACCAGAATCACCAACGGCGATAATTCTCGGTGAAAGTTCTTCGTCGTTCATTGTAAAATTTGTCAAAAGTTGGTTCAGCGGAAATACAATCAACGAAAATTTACAATTATTATGCCTCTTGTTGATGAATATTATTCAATAAACATTAAACAATTTAGATCCGGTAGTTCGAAATTTAAATGATCACAAGCTTAGTTTACAACTATTCAATAAAAAACACCTGATAGTACTTTTTCCCTATGATAGAATTAGTATTTTTATGAATGAACAAGGTCGTAGAATATATACGTCATACTCTATCTTTTTACCGTTTCGATAGGTGAATAACATAAATTTTTGTTCAAACATTTTCAATTATCCAGGGTTGCTTATTCAAAAATGTGATTTTTATTCATGTCTAACATATTACAATTGGTTTGGAAACAGATCCAATGCTATTTAACTAAGATACACTGATATATCTTATACTCTGACTTCTTGATAGAAAATTATAAATCAATTTATACAAAAATTAGTTTTTAATCTAATTTTAAAAACTGTTTCAATTCAGCAATTGAATTAACATTGTAACAATGTAAAATTTTGTATGTAGAGATGCATGGATCAATGTGTGTTGAGCGATTTCGTGTAGTATGGAATACTTCAGGAATTTTTGTGGGATATTTGTGAATTAGTTCTTCAATTGAAACAGCAAATTCAAGGCACTTTTTCCATTCATCTTTTGTAGTTAAGAAACTACCTAATGCAAGTGGCTGAAAGTTTGTAACATATCGAATTAAATCATTGCTAAGGGTGTTATCTAATCCATTTTCAGTAACTCGTTGTTTGTAAAGTTTACTTTTTTCAGCAAGAAATTTCATAAGTTTATGAACAGTATCAACGAAATCCCATGCATTGTGGTCAATATTATTATAATAATCAGCAATCTTCATTTGTAATGAATTTTGGATTTGATTACTGAAATAAATATATGGTAAGATAAACTTGAAAAACGTAAATTTGTATGAATATGCTTGATTCAATCCTTCAAGATATTGATACATTTGATCTGATGAATTTGCTAAATAAGTGTAAATTTCTTCAAATTCTTGTTTAGAAATGTAATGAGGTTTTATAAATTTTAAAAAAGTATAGCATTTGTCTTGTGCTTGAGCATAATATGAGTAAAGTTTTGTTGGAATAAGATCAGGGTCAAGATTATATAATTTTTCACTAAGATCAATAACATGATTTACATACTCTTCAGAATTATCAACAAGATAACTACATCTTGAAGTAATTTGCTTATAACATCTCTGGTGAGATATTGTAAAAAAGCCTTCTCTATCAAACATTGATATAAAAATTTTCTTATCGTTTTGTAAAGTGATATAATTCAATAAAAATTTTTATGTCGTTTTTCCAAATATCGATTTTACCAAACAACTGTATATTTATATTTATTCAAATTCGTAACAAAATTTTTCTCAATCACAATCATAAAATCATATTGAATAAAGCACCGCTAAATTTTGTAAATATCTCAAATCAAATATATTGTCATTCGACAATTTTTGGATTGTTGGCTTGTCAATTCATATATAACATATTTTAATAATAGTGTAAAAATTGAAAAGGTGGGACGATTTTCAATAATTCCTCTATTTTGGAATTCTTGATAAAGATTGATAGTTTTATAAAATATTTCCAGTATTCATTGTAAAGCTATCAATCTTTACAAAAAATAAAGAAACAATAAATGGGCCGATATGTTGCTGGGCGTTTATTAGACTTTCTTGAAAACATATACCGCTATAATTACTTTGTAAAAATTTTTTCCATCATTCTACTTGCTATCCAAGTTGTCCTTTTATATGGAGACTTTAAATGGCAAGAAAATCCGAAGAACCCAATGTCGGACCAACTTAACGTCACAAATCTAACTCTTCCAAATGGTATTAAAAAACCTTCTGATTTTGATTCATATTTTAGAGTTAAATTATCTATTACGATTTTACAATTTTTATATTTCATTACAATGTTTGTTATCATAGTTATAATTTTAATCAAGAAATCAAGAACGAAAAAAAACACTTTTAGAGTATTTACAAACGATTATTGATACATTACAAGAATATCAAAACGGCATGCCACGTCATATAACTAATCAACTTGATCATGAAAAAATTGCTGATATTTTTTGGCATATCAATGAAGAAAGGTTCCCCGACAAAAGCGAATTGACGAAAATATCAGCGCAAATCAATCAATATTTTGCATGCATTCCACTTTCAGGTGTAACTTCTAAATCCAAAATTTCTTTAAATTCAAATGCAGAATACAAGTTCACCTCCTATAACAGTCTCACAAAAGATAGTCTCACGCTGCGCCCAAAATCAATCAATGATATCCAAGATATATATTTTGTTCCAATTCACTTTTTTACCTTTCTCATAATTATTATTTGTTTTGTAGCTTTGCCTGAGTCAGCTGAGAAAATCTATAACAATGAAACACTTCCTTACGATGAAAACATTACTGATAAAATTCTGAGTGTTGCAAAAGTTACAACAGATAAATCAGAATGCGTTATTTATATTGTTATTGATGGTGTTACTTTATTTATCGAACTTCTTGTTTATTTTGTACAAATATATATTTATTATTACGTGATTCCAAAGCTAGTTGAGGAATTTAATGATTCAGATCCTATTTCAAATGAATTCATTGAAGACTTGGCAAGAACATATAGAATTTGTCCTTGGCCACATCTTGAAAGAATTAAACTAACTTATTCGATTTGTATTGGTCATAATGTTCACAATGAAATTCTAATGGAGCAACTTTCCTATAGCCAAATCGCTAATGGAGAACTGATAATTGGGAATAATTCGTCAGATATTAGCATTAAACCATCTACAATAATGAGCCAACTGACTCAAATCAATAATCATTTATCAACTTCTTTGAATGATATATCAAATCTTATTCTTAAAAACCAGAGCCGATATCAAGGAATTCTTCAATCTATTGCTAATGAAAACGCTGTATTCAATCAAATAATGTTAAACTTTACGAATTTAATGTTTACAAATACTAACTTGTATAATGTTCATAGAACAATCTATGACTACAACTTACGTTTGCAGGACCAATTTCAATACCTTCAAAGATTTAATCAACCCGTCAGAAAATATTTCCCATATATTTGTTTTCTAATCCAGAAATTACAAACATTAACAGAAATAGTTACATCTTATTATAATGATTACTTGAATTATACTCAACAAATTTATTTTTACAAGAATGAAGGTGATCTTACTGTAGATATTATAGGATTTATTCCAATAAAAGGCTGGCAAATAACATTGCTTTCGCAGGCGCTTAATGATTTTATTCATGGAAATAGACGATTTACAATTGAAGATCTGAAAAAATTAAGAAATGACCTCAATATATTAGAAAGAGAACTCACTAATTTTAACAAGATGTACTTGAAGAGATTGGATCATTTGAGTTCACTTGAGAAATTTAATAGGGTTAATTTGATACCTCTTGGAGAATACATCGTCCATTTTTTTTCAAATCTCATGATTGAATTTGCACAGTTTGCTGCAATCGACATCTTTTCCGATTACACTCTACTTGATTTGCCTAACCCTGTAATACCAATGGCACCTCGTTATAATCAAACCCAAGCTGCTATAAGACGAATGACAACTATTTTGAATGATTGCCAGCAAGCGATATTCCCAGAAATTTCTGAATTAATCAAGGAAAATATTGGTTTATTTAATCAAATCAAATATTTCCAAACCAATTGAAAATCAACTAATTCTATGCAAAAAACAATTCCAGGAAATATTTTCCATATTAAATTCGACAGGGATCAATAAACAAATCTTAGTTGCTTTCAATAATACCGAATCTTTCATCAATTCTATTCCGCCAGCCAATTATCTTTTTACAGGCAATGTATTCGATTGTGGCGTAAACTATCGACTAATCGATTATGAGCTTACAATGAAAATCAAGCAGCTTCAAGAGCTAGAAAATCAACTTACAGAAAAAATCGGATCGCTCATGTTTGCCACTCAATTAAATCAGGACCTCGTTAATTTTACAAATTCAATAGTTTTTCCTAATCATGTCACTGATTTTAGGTTGATGATTAATGAATTAATACTTAAAAAAGCATTTCTTCAAAATCATTTCCTTAGTGAGCCAAATTACAAAACATACATTGATATATCGAATCAGCGCCATATATCTATCCAAAAACTCAAAACTAAAGTTAGTTCATTATTTCCTTATCCTCAGCCTCCTGTTAATGTTGACACAGAATACTATGCTTCATTAAATTTGGATAACTTTATTTCCCGAACTAAAGTGATGATTCGTGTTTTTGATCGAAATTTTGATCATCTAATTCATTGATTGATGAAATTATTCTTTTGTTTGTTAAAACAATAAATGTACTCTGTTTCTTTTCTGCAGTTGTATATCCTATTTTCTAACGCATATTTTGCAATCTTTAGTAGGAGATTCAAGTGTTTCTTTTATAGATGTTCCAAAATTGCCGTTTCTCCTTGGAAAAGCACTGTCCAAAATCTTTCATCAATGAGGAGAAAGACGGTGTTTCCACACCTTCCTCATTAAGATGATTTATTTTATCGTTAAGTTAAATGATATATATATATTTTAATACTAATCACTTCAAATTGTTCTGGGTATTAAAAAAAATAATAAAAAATGGACATCTGATGGGTATTTTTTTATCATAGAATTTTTGTTTAGTTTACATTATTTTTAAAAAGGTCTAGAATTTGAAATGAGAATTCGTTTTCTAATATTTAATTATATTGAAATATAAGGTGAGGTTCAAGCATAAGAAAAAGTGACATCGCCTACAGCGATGTCACTTTTTCGAAAATTTCTCATTTGGACACTTTAACTCTTATATCTGAATAATCAAATGTGTTTAACAAAAAACTGACATTTCTCTTGTTGAAAACATGATTTCAATTTATAGTTTCAATCAATTAAAACAATAGAAGATAAGAATAGAATACTACAAGATAGTATTCTTCAGATAAATATAAAAAAACTTTTTACAATAAAAATACATAGAAATATAAATAATAAAAACAAAAACAATAATAATTATCTGTTGTTATTTGATTTCTGAAGAAGAGGTAATTCAGATGATTCTTTCTTAGTTTCTTTAACAAATGCAGAACCATCATCACCATAGACGAAATCTCCACTTCCGCCGAAGTTAGAAACAGGAAGTTTGCCTTGTTTTGTAGATGATTTTTCGACCATCGCTGCTGTCTGTGACAAAACTTCGGCAACTGTCTGAACGTCCTTTTGAGTGGCGAATTTATCCATAGACGATGCAAGCTCTTTCACTCGTTCATTCAATCCGTTGATGATAACTCTGAACTTGTTAAATACTTTCTCAACAAAATCGCGATCAACTTTTCTTTCAACAGCTGACATAAGTTCATTTTTGTTTTTGATGAAAAGTTCCATTTGTCCTTTCAACTGTTCCGATGTTTCCTTTTCAATTACATGGACAACTGTCTGCTCTGGCTGCGATTTAGACGTATTCCCAACATACAAAATATTACCTGAAACTTGTGTTGAAATGTTATCATTTTCACTTTCACTTTTAACTGATTTTTTGTCATCGTTTTTCACTGATTTCTTGTCATCAATATCAAGCTTTGGAGGTGGAGAGTTATAGTTAGGCTGTCGAGAAATTATATGCATCAATCCAGAGATCTTTTTAGTCTTGAAGAACGTTGTTGACTGTTTCTTCTTTATGCCAATGTCATCTTCTGAAATTTCGCCACTGATCATGTCTTCGTTTTCGCTGTCTTCTCTGTATCTTCCTCTTCTTCCAAGTCTCATTCTTTCAAGTGTTGATGTGCCTGATCCTGTTGGAAGAGAGCTAGATCTATCAGATTCATCTGGTGATTCATCGTCACCACCAACACGTGCAAATGTGAAGCTTGGATTATTGAAGAAACTGGGGACACATGTTGCCAAATTAAGTGGAGGAAGATGTTCTAAACCACTCGCGTTTGTTCTGATCAATTTGAATTCATCGATGATTGCGAGTACGACATCTCTAACATCTTTCTCATTCCTGTTGACGGCGTTCTTGATTCGAAGGATATCTTGAAGAGCAGCATCGATTTGGCCGCCAAGATGGTCAACTGTTTTTTCTAGTTTTTGATGTTCTTTTGCACGAATGTCGTTGTCTAACGGAATCAACATTCCTGCACGTGTTGCTGCTGTTTGATGTGCCATGATGCTTGAAAGCATTGGACGGTTCGGAGATTCAGGA